TTCAAACTCAGGACAAATACAATCAAAAAATTAGTAGTTTTGGCGGTAAAATTTGTGCCGTTTTCCGTCCACTGAATGTTTCTGCCTTTTCCAGCACTTTTTCCACCAGGTGCCCGACCACAAAGGTGACAATCTTGAAGAAGCAACTCTACCTTTTCGGATTCTACCAGAAGATACTTGGGTTTCGAGATAACTTCCTTCTCATCCGACATTGTTTAACCTAAACGGAAACATTTATGACACAGGAAAAAGCACCAAAAAAATCAAAAGAAAATACAAAATCCAGATAAAAAGCCCTAAAAGATTGACCACGCGAAATGTGAATAAACTCTATTTTGACCCCAAATTAATTTTGTCAATTAATTTTTATCATTTCTGGCAATAAATCTAACAAATAAACACAAAATAAACGAATTTTCTCGAAAAATTTTTTTAGTGAGAATAGGCCACGATTGTTACCCCTCCTTGAAGATTTGAAACCCCAACTCGAAGTTAATTGTTCGCTTTCCTTTGTCAGCTTTGTCGTTATTATTTTTGTGTGTTAACTGATAAGAAGTTCTAAAGAAAGGGGAGAGAGAAGAACTGGTTTTTGGAGAAAGACTAAATTCTTGCAGCATAAATGAAATCCAATGTTCTGATAGCGAGTTTGAGCGCTGTCTCGCGCTTCCACTTGCCAGCTCCCGTATTGATTTTAGCTTTGTGTTATACATTTTCCTCTATCTTTTTTAAACTTTAAAAGTATTTACTTTAGATAGTGCAACAATGCAAACTATTCCAAAACTGAAAATTTTGATCATTCAAACAAAATCTGCGAATTCGACAAACTCGATCAATTGCAAACTCGATGAAATTTGTGTTCATGTGGCAGACCATAGAAAATGGTCCAGTTCTCATAAAGACAAAGAAATGGCACTAGGCATGGGCCAAAATTTAGGTGTTTCATTAAACGAAGTCAACAACAACTTAGTTTTGAAAGTGACGCTCAAGGTAAAAGCTTGTCAATAACTTTTTCTTCAAAAACTATTTTTTAGACAAAAGAACTTGTTTCCATTCGAATCTCATCTTCCAATGGAGAGCTAAAAACGACAATCACAAAAACCGCTTCCAAGATCATCAAAGACTTGGTCATCAAAGCTCCGAATTTGCAAGTCGAACGTGCCAAATCACTGACCGGCGATTGTCTCTCGCTAGTTTCCACCGAAAATGATCTCTTTCTCAATTCGAACAAGCTCGACTTCAACGTGCTCAATCTACATGCAATTGACTCCTGGATTCGAACATTGGAAACATGCATTAATTGTCGAAAATTCCAAACTAATTCAGTTGCCTTGTCTTTCGATGGTCATTTGTACGCACCGGAATTGGAACTCAACATCTGCGCGAATCAATTGCACATTTCGATTGGCGGCTATATTGGGGTTGATATAAGTGGAAAGATTAGCAAACGTGTGGTCGGGAAAATAACAGGTACGCGAGTCGAACATTGGCTTGAAAATCGCTCCAAAAGCTTGCAAGAACTGGGGAAATTACTTTCAAATCTAAAATTGTTCTCTTGTAGGAACTTTTGATATAAAAAAATAGTTTTATTAAAAATTTGCTCAATTAAGTTAAGAAGCAACCCCGGTTTTTGCATCAAAAAAAAAATGGCCGTCAAAGTCGAGTTTTTTCATGCCAAAATTACCAAAGATTGTAGTAAGCAATTTGTACAATTTTCTTGAGAATCTTTTCAGGTTCCATTAGCAATTTTGGCCAAATCATCTCCAGTTCCCGTATTGATCTTTCTATTGGGAATATCCTTTCCGTTCGTGACAACAAATCCGACACAGCACACCGGGGTTTTAAAGCTATCAAAGGCCTATTCAAAATAGCACATGACCATTCCGACACTGACCAACTCTCTTCTGAAACTCTTGGTAAATCGATAAACGAGAAAAAAGTGTCTCAAGTCGCTAGTCTACTCGAGTCTGGTGTCGATTCAAAAGAAGAAATTGAATGCGAGAAGGGTGTAACGACACCTCGAAAGTTGGCTAGAAAGTCACTGAAAAATATGGACATTAACGACTACCAAACCGAAGCGCTAATGAAAACGCATGATTGGAAACGGGGAAAGATCACAGCTCGCTCAATTCAGTTAAAATTAGAAAACAATTTGGAGGATTGTGCTCAAATTGAAGGCGAACAAGTTGCTTTGGAAGTGGGTGGATTGGCAATTTGTGAGAATGATTCTATCTGGTCTTCTGGATCGGTGAATATGGTTGTTGCAAAAAGTTTCGACGTTTATGGACAAATCAAGATTTTGAGCGGAGCTTTCTCGGTTGACGAGCAAACTGTTTTTCATGAGAACACGGAATTTGGCGTCGAGGATTTTCTCGAGATCAACACAAAGCTCTTTGAATGCAAAGGCTTTCTATCCGTCAGAAATCGACTAACAACAAAAGTTTATGAAAACTTCAAAACTGGGAGCAAGGCGTTTGTAACGGCGTCAAATTTTCATGGAATCGTCGGCATGTGGTCGGCCACTTTCGGTATATGGCAATTCAAAGAAATGCATCTTTTCAGCAATAAGAAGATTTTCATTTCAACTCATGCAAAAATTGAAGCCAACACCGGCGATGTGCTTACTGAAAACTTTCACAATAAAGGCACTTGGGCTATTGAGGATCTGCTTCAGATAGCTAGCGCCAATTTCCAGCAGTCTCAATCTGGAAAAATAAAGGTAGATGGAAAACTTACACTCAAAATCAACACTTCACAAGATAGAGAATGGTTGGGATTGGTGGAGACAAGGGTGCTCGTCATTCTGGCGATTGGAAATGTGATTTCAAGTGGAGAAGTTTATGCCGATCAAGCTGCGATCACGCTGAACTCCTTGGAGAAATCGTTTTTCTCGGTGAATGGATTGCTCAAAGTGCACGAAAAAGCGTTGTATTTGGAATATCGAGAAAAGGAGAATTTGGAAGTAAGGGATGAGAGTGCATCTTTCGGGTTTTCAATAAATGGATCGTTGCACGCACATGGAATTTTTGGATCAGAAGTAAGTGGCATTTTTAGGAAAGGACGTCAAAAAGAGGAAATGTCGTGAACTATACTTTTCAAAAAAAAACTTCAACCCTTTTCTTACAATCCCTAAGAAAATATGATTAAAAGAGTGACGGAAATAGTTTAAATTTCATTTTAACTTTTTAAGTCTCGTTTAAGATCTGCAATCACTTTTATAACACAAAATTTTAGGTGGACGTCCAATGCTCTAATATCGGTCGAATTTTCCTTTGCAACAATGTTTCGACGGATGAAAAAGCTAGCAATTTAGTGGAATGTCGAACCTTGTTCACCCAATCACGAGCCCAAATCTTTCTCGCCTCATCCCATGACCCTCAACAACGGATCATCTGCAAATATATTCTCCACAACGGTGCTATCATCCAAACGAGCACCTCAATCTGTGTGTTTGCTGAGAAACTGGTGAATAATGGGGTGTGGAAGTATGGAAGTTATGAGAAAAGTTTCCCGTATTTGATGGACGCAAATTTTTGCATACAAGAGAAAATGGTCAATCAAGAAGCCCTGATAGCACACGTATTACGGATTTTTGGAAAGGGAAATTTGGTGAACGAATCTGTTGTTCAGGTAAGCGCGTACTAATTGACAGACACTTTTTTTACAGGCTCTAGGTACAATTTGGAGTTCTGAAATTTCCCAACTTGTTTCTCTTCTTTAATTCCAGCCCTTGCAGATATTTCAATAAGATTAAAAGTCGACAAATTTGTTTTTTTTAACTATTTTTTTCTCATAAAAACTTTTTTAGGCAATCCGCCTTGAGATCAAAGTCAATGATATCGATAATCTCCGTGGACAAATAACCGCTACCAATGCCGATATCAAATACACGACTATCAACGTTTGTAAACTAGATGGCTGTCTTGATGTGGAAGAAAACTTAGCCATCTCAGCAAATGTATCTCCAAAGTTCGAATTTTGCTGCAAATCGAATGAACTTTCTGAATGTATCCTACCCTCAAAATCGTGCCAAATCATGGGCAAAAATGTCGAGCTTCATTCGGATATCAAACTCGGAAAGACGAAAAATGAAGTGACACGCATTTTGGGAGAAAACTCTTTGAAAATCTATGGAAATCATGAATTTAATTTATTGATTGTTTCTCCTCAAAAGTCCGTAGACAAAACTTTCTTGATAGAAATTCAGGAAAACGGTTTGCTCCAAGCTCGAAATTTGCGATTCGAAAACGAAGTTGAAGCGTTTCATTTCGGCAACAATGGGGCTTCTCAAATAATAAACTTGCATGTGGGGAAAGCAGTGCAAAAAGTGATTTTGCAAGGGAATGGTGTGGAGCAATGTGTGCATCATATATTAGCCGAAGACGCTCGAGTGGAATTCGAAACGATGACAAACATGAAAATGAATTATTTGAAAGCTAAAGAAATGGAAGTTCTGAAGGATAAAGATGTGAATTTGAAATTGGTAGAACAAGACGAGAAGAAGGCAGTTCAATTCGTGGTCAAGGATAAAATAGGTAAGAGTTTTGAGGGGAAAATCTTTAAATTGGCAAGACACGAAGTTTTTAAGCTAAAAATAAGAAAAACATTTAGATATCACCGGCACCGTGAACACATCTTCCAACATTTACATGACATCCAATGAAGCCATTCAAAAAGCGGTTGACTTGACTTCTGAAGATCCCAAAGAAGCTCAAAGTTCCACAATCGAAATTTCCGGAAAGTTCACATCATCGAGCGAAAATATCCATTATCGCCTTGAGTGTTTTGATTTGCGAATCAATGGTTCCATCGAGCAGCTCCAATCTCTCGAAACTGACTCCGTCACTACCACAATTCTACTTTTCGGCAAAATTTCTCAAATTCAAAATCTCAAACTTCAATCCGAATGGCTTACACACAATGGAACTATAGAGAATTGCCAAGAAGTCGACCTGTATGCATGGGGATTGATCTGCAACGGAGTCATCAGGAATTACAAAAACATGAACAAAATCGGTGCCAGTCTTGTTTTTGTGAACTCCGGCGAGATTGCTGGAGGTACATCCACCTATGCCGCGCCTTTTATGTTCAACTCCAAAGTAACAAATGGAGCTGAACCAAAATTCGAAGCCGAGAAACTACTTAGCATAAAATCGTTGGTCTGTTTAAACACGGAAAGCGAAATGATCGCAGAAAACATTCAAAATCAGTCGGTCTTGTTGTTTAAACTAGCAACTGTCACGCAAGCGAACAACCACCAGCCAAACAATGGCCAACTCCAACATTGGAGGTCGATTACGGAAACACTGAATGTGAAATTTTCGAATAATCCGTCGATTGATGACATTAAAAACGTGTTGGAAATGACAGGAAACGGTGTTTCAACCGATAAAAACACTCGCGAAATCGGTCTACGTGCTCAAGCCCAGTTCTACATCGAAGTTCGGACCATGGTTGATGACATGAGTGCCAACGGGATCGATCGATTTAGCGTAGCCAATCTTGTCGATGCTCTCATGCGTGCTCAGGAACACTTCCGAACTGTTAACTTATGGAAAGAACAACTTCTAGCTGTACCAAAAATTGCACGTGATCTCTACAAAAAAGGTATCCGCCAATTCAATATGTTTGTCACCTACGCTTTTAACAATGTCCCTGAAATCGATCCTAATAAAAAAGGTATCCAAGAAGTTGGGCTGATTTCTTCCCAAATGGGGTACATCTCTGCTGGAAACTCTGATTATTCGGGCAAATTTCTGGACTCGTTTATCAACGATGGAACAATTTCCTCGGCTGCCGGGGATATCTGTATTGAAAGCAAGGAAATTTGTCAAAGTTCTCGTGGAAGAATGATGGCCGTTTATGGAAAGATTTTCATAGAAGGAGACGATGTGGCAGTGAATAATATCGAGCAGGCCAAGCAACTTTTGATCAACGCAAAAAATCACCTAGAAGCAATGAATGTGAATGCAAAAATGGCAAAGTTTTCCGCCAAAAATGGACCGTTGTTAGCAAAGAAGATCAATACAGAAAAGATTGTTGTGGAATCGGGAAACAGTGTTACAATAGGTAAGGTTATATATTGATGAAAGTATTTGGAATAACAATTAGCATTTTCGTGGCAGAGAACATTTATTATGATCAGGGCCGACTTTTCGGTTTTACATCTAAGGGATTACATTCAGCTATAGCTTTATTATATTTCACAGCACTGGCGGTTTAAACTCGGATTCATCCCCTTTCGAAGCAATAGCAAAATCAGAGGATTTGATCCGAGTTTAAAGCGCCAGTGCTGTGAAATATAATGCTTCTAGATCAGTCAGTTAGAATAGTATATCTATAAAAAATACTTTTAGTATTTTTAATGTTAAAAATTCCAGATCAACTCACCACCGATGACGCTTTAATTAAAAGCAAGAACGCCACTCTAACAAATATCAAAGCCGATAAGCAACTCTTGGCCGAAACCGAACAGGATCTCAAAGCTCAAAATGTCTCCTCTTCTAGGGTGCAACTTGTCTCAAAAGATGGCAACGTTCATGGATCTCAAATCAATGCTGATTGCCTGTTGGGTGATGCTGGAAAAAACTTGTCTTTCCAAGACATCCAAGCAAAAGAAACATCAGTCAAAGGAAAACACGTGAATTTGTCGAACATCCACTCGGAAAAACTCGCAGCAGAAGCGGAAGACGATCTAAATGTTACAAATGCCACATTGGATCTTGCGAAACTGACGGCCAAGCAAGGAGCCGCAACGGTATCTGGCATTAAAGGCAAAAACGTTGTGATTGATGCCAAGAAAAACGCAAACATAGGTGATGCTGTTGTTGATAGCATTGCGGTGACGTCTGAAAATGCTGATGTGAACTTGATCGGTCGGGTAGATGCCGGAAAAATGAGAGCTAAGGCGCAAAACAAGGTAAATCTTTTGACAGGTTCCGGTCAGGCCAATCACCGTTTCGGGACTCTATCGATTGAATGTAAAAGAATGGAAAGCCAAAATGCAAAAAATTTGCTAGAAGGCAATGGGGTGTTCCGATCGATGGAAGTTAGAGATATGCTCGATTTGGCTGTCACCGATGAAAAACTCGTACTCGGAAGCCTCAGTCGGAATTGCAGTTTATCGTTGAAATTCAAAAGTATTGATATTGTCGGCCGAGTTTCAACGTCAAAATCATTTCATGCACAAGCTTTAGATGGGGATCTTAACTTGAATGATGCGAGTTTATCAGCTGGCGGTGATGTTGGGCTGATGAGCAATAGAGGCTCAATAAATGTAAAACATTCGGATGTTGCGGGAAACTCGATTCACATGAAAGCTGCTCGAGACATAAATATACATGCGGAGAAACATTCGGGATCGAGAGCAAAAGCAAGCAATATTAGAGCTGGAAAAGGAAATGCTTATGGGAGCGAAGGGCGCACGAAAGGTCTGTTTGCCCTAGTCGGGGTGTTTGAATATACAGTCGAACTTCGATATAACGAATTGCAAGGGACCGGAAAAATAATTCGTTATATCGAAATTCGTTATATAGAAACAACAATCACTTAATTTCTGTTGAAATTCGTTGTATAGAAATAGCCACTGGTTTTATTGTTAGCTAATGAACAACTATCAACAATCAACTATCTAAAGAACATTAAAAATCTGTTAAACGAGATTGCTTCTTAACGAGAGAAGCTTGTTCGTCGAAAAAATTGTCAATTGCATTCATTGCCGAAAAGTTTCTGTTGTTCCGTTCTTTGCAATGTATCGTTGAACCATTTGAAAATGATAATAAGCTTCACTTTGGGAGATTGAAATTTCATCCTCAATCATTTTCTCCGCTTTCCGAAGAAATTTTCATTGTTTACAAACCTTTTGCTATTTCATCCAAAGTTCCAATTCCTGTTGTAGCAACATCTTCATCGACAAATGCAAAATCCATGGCATCAACACGAGAATTAACAGTATCACAATCATTTAATTGATCCCAAATCGGATCCGAAAAAAGTTCAGTGCCTCCGTCGTCAAAATGGTCTTCAACAATCAACAATGTCATCTCCTGTGTGCGATGAATCATGCGTAATAAATCCCGCTTTTCGGAGACAATTTATCAAGGTCGAACTCCTGACTTCGTTCCAGGGTTGTTCAAGCAAATGGATTGCGTCCAACAAATCAAAGTTAAAAGTAACGTTCTGATCAGTTGGGTTGATTCTCCGCTTCATCAAAAATCCTCAATACTTTACTTTGAGATTTTTGATAACTCCCATGTCCATCGGCTGAATAGCAGCTGTTGTATTTGGTAGAAAGAATCGCAGTCGAAAGTTTGATAAAACAATTTCTGGATGAGCAGGGGAATTATCAATAAAAGTAGAATCTTCCGATTGAACCTTACCAGCTTTTGGTTCTATTTGCTAATATAGTCCACAAATAATTCGCATGTCATCAATGCTTTCAAATTGGCCTCGTACAGAATTTGAAGCTTTTTAGTGTCTTTGAAACATCTTGGTAGCTTGGCCTTTCCGATCATCAAAAGCGGACACTTTTTTACTTCGGTTCATCCTTGTTCCAACAAGACTCGTCACTCCTTCTTTGCTTTTTTCCACTTTTGCACCGATCTCCATTAAAAGACATTGTTTTATTTGGCGTCAATCTTCAAAATAAAGCGGTTTTGTCCAAATTGAAAACATCTTTTGGGTCGAATTCCATTAAAAGCTCATTTAGCACTTCGGCTTTCCACTTTTCGACATCATCGAGATTAATCTCGGCAGTTTCTCCTTGTAGAGTTCGAAAAACAATCCCATGTCACTTCTTAAATTTGTCCAACCAGCCGCCACTCGCTTGAAAATCAGTAGCTCCCATCATTTTTGTCAACTCCATCGCTTTTTCACGAAGTAAACTTCCATCCACGCATTCGTTTTGGCTTCGAGCTTGCTTTCAACCAAGTAGGCACTCCTTTCTCAATAGGCTCCTATTTGCTCGTCTTCAGTCGTGCCCGTTCTGTGACTCCTCCATCATCAATTTCTTCCAATATGGCTGACCTCTTGCCAAGAATGGTCGAAATTTGCGGTAGATCAAATCCCTGGCCAATTCAGAAGTTCCCTTTGACGACGATTGGTCAAGTATCCGCTTCTTTAAAGCTAAATTGATTGATCGCCGAGTTGCTTTCACTCGATTCATCACCTAAAAATAAAGCTATTATTAAAAATGAAGAATAACAGGAAAAAGTATACTTAAGAAAAATTGTGGACAAGCAGGCAGCTAATTTTAAGTTACCTAACTCAATTCCAACGAAAATATAATAATATTCACTCAAAAACTAAAATCCATTAAGCTTTATCCACATTTCAGCAAAATTTCGTCATAGGGAAATTAAGTATACGGTAATTTATCCAGAAAATGTTCGCTATATCGAAGTTCGACTGTATTAGGTTGTAAACTAAGTCTTGACCCTTTCCTAAATTGCTAATATCTCAGCGTAGAAACAATATATTTGAATGAAATTTTAAACAGATTATTCTCAAAAACTTACAGGCTTAATGCCAAATTTCTGTGGTTATTCGGCGATTAGCGACCAAGTTATAACTTTAGAAATTTGGCATTAAGCTTGTAAGTTTTTGAGAATAATCTGTTTAAAATTTTATTCAAATATATTGTTTCTACGCTGAGGTAATTTAGGAAAGGGTCAAGACTTAGTTGCCAACCTAATCGTTCGAATCCTTTCGGTCGGATATCGGAACCAGAAACCAATATCCGACAAGTTTCCCAGCTGGACGAACCGGAAATCTGTAAAAAAGCCCTAAATTTTAAAATTCGCATGCAAACCTTAAGTTTCAGAATATGCTTGCAAAATGTGAGATGTCACGTTTTTCACTAAAATCATATTCAAGGATTTAGGCTAAATTCGATCTGAATCGAGCGCTAATTTATTACAAATTTCCAATTCGTCCAGTTGGAAAACTTATTGTATATTGATAACCGGGCTTAATTGTCCTTTTTGGTGTTCCGAAACCGTCCGAAAGGTTTTAAAATGGCAGGATTGGGTATTGCAGCTGGATCGTGGTTCCAACGTTTTACATTTTAACATTTCAGGTCTTCACATGAACGCCGGCAATAAAATAGACGTCTACGGGTCAAATCTATCCAGTAAAGGCGACATGAGCCTACAAGGCGTGCACGGAATCACGACCAGAGCCGCTACTACCCACCGGTCTCAGACAGAAACAACCTCAGGTTTTTTAGGTTTCAACAAAAAAACAACGACTACCACTTGCACCGACGTTGACAAATCGAACATAGCTTCCGGCGGAAAAATCATTATGCAAAGTGAACACGGTGGAATCACTTCGATCGCCACCGATATAACTGCAGGTGAAAACGTCTACCTAGATGCTGAAGGAAACATTGAATTGTTGGATTTGGTAACCCAGCGAACTACCCGAACGACCAAAAGTAGTTGGTGGGGCCTGAACAACTCTAGCAGCTACAATTCACAAGAAATGAGCGAGGGAACAAGACTTATCACAAGAGGCTACGATTCGAATGTAATCAAATCAACAAAAGGTAGCATTAAAATCGAAGGATCAAGTGTTGAAAGCCATGGAAAAACACTCATGCTGGCTGAAGAAGGAGAAGTAACATTTAAGGAGCGGATTTTGAACCATGAAGAGTACACTCAAAGCTCAGGTTTTAACTTCACCACCCTCAGTTTCAACCATACAGAAACCAACAAAAAATATCAGACAATCGCCGAAAATTCGATAACATCAGGGGTTTTGGAAATAAAAGCCAAAAAATTCGTTGTCCAAGGCATGCAGATTAACACGGGTCAATTCATAATCGACGCTCCGGAGGTTGAGTTTATCGGAAACAAACTTGAATCTAGTATGGAATCATCAAGCCTTACAATGTCTTTGGTCCCCACTGAACTGAAAATCAACATAACCACAGAGAAAAGCGCGTCAAAAACCGTAGAATATACAAATCAACTAACAAATGTTGGAGGCTCGATTGTGTTCAAGAAAGCGAAAAAAGTGAAGTTAGAAAATGCAAATATAATGTGTGACGAGGTAAAGGGAGATGTGGACACCATGGAAATCACGTCAACGTTGTCGACAAGAACGAGCAGCAGCAATAAAGTATCTGTGGATATCGGGTGTATCGTCATCGGAGGTGAGAATTTAAAGAAATTCATAGTCATCAGAGTTAAAATTGCAATTAAACCCTTAAAGCTTTTAAAGGGTCATCAGAGGGGATTATTCAAAAGGTTTTAATTGCAATTTTTCAAGAGAAATTCCTTTTAAAGAGGCAAAGAATACACAGTTGTGCTTGGGATCTTAAAATTTCGAAAACTTAAACGAAAAAATTAACTTAAAGATCAGAACTAAAACATCTCATTTTTTAGGTGTACCAGTGCCTGTTCCTGGGGTGGACGTCAATCAAACAAAGGAAGACATCGCCAAGATCAAAGCGATCTCTAGTATTCATTCTCACCAAGCCATTACCACAAAAAACTTGAAAATGAAACGTCTCCAACTAACAGGAGGACTCGTCTCTTCAAATCAAGAGGTTGAAGAATTCGCCGAACACGTTCAAGCTAACGATATTGATGAGCACGCCTACATGATTGGCAAATCGACTAGCGTCAAAATCATCCCCACTCAAAAAGGAATCGGCTCCGTTTCACTTGGGCATTTGGAAACTACAAATGAGGTTAAACACAAAATTCAATCGAGTGTATTATCGGGGAACAGTAAAACACCACAAAACTGGAATGTGAACAAGAAAATAGATGCCATTCGCCAAATAACGAGTAGAAAAGCAGAGACAAAAGGGATGATGGCTCATGCGGGAAAAGACGGGGTCAAATTGCAAATCAACGAATTCGGTGCTGGTGCTACGTATTCAAAAGGAAAAGGCGCTGATATTATGATCAAAGGACATAATTTCGCTATCGAAGCTGGATTTAGCAAAGACGACGGCGCAAAAATGCACATGAAAACAAAAAAAAACGAGCATAAGCTCAAATTTTCGTCTAAGGACAAAAAAGCCGAGGTACTAATCAAACAAGATGACACCGAATTTTCGCTTGACGTTGGTCAAGAAGGTGGTGAAATCAAAATTAGCGATGGCGACACTAGCATTCAACTGGGAGCCAAAAACTCGGGTGCACAAATCGATATCAAAACCAAAGATCAATCGCTCAGCATTGGTGTCGGTAAAGACGCCGTGAAAGTAGGCTTCAGCGATGTAGATCAAAAATTTAATGTCGGCACCGATTTGAAGCAGAATCAAGCGTATGTCGACGTGCACTTGCATGATGGTACAAAAATCAGTGCAGAAGCGCAAGAAAAAGGACTTTGGGGTCTGGAGTTAGGCGACGGGAAGAATCAACTGAACATCTCGACGGATTTCGATAAGAAAAAAGATTTTGATCTGAAACTGGACGATGGGAAAAATAAACTGAACATCTCGACGGATTTCGATAAGAAAAAAGATTTTGATCTGAAACTGGACGATGGGAAAAATAAACTGAACATCTCGACGGATTTCGACAAGAAAAAAGA